ATCGCTGCTTCGGGGGCACCGCCACCCGGGGGCGAAGAGGAGGAGCGGGACGGCGCCCCAGAGAAAGGCAAGAGTTCGGGCCCCAGTGCCAGGAAAGGCAAGGGGCAGATCGAGAAGAGGAAGCTGCGGGAGAAGAGGCGCTCCACCGGAGTGGTCAACATCCCCGCGGCAGAGGTGAGCAGGGCGGGGGCCGCGGCCGCGGCCGCTCCTTGGCGCGCTGCCGCCTTCTGGGACCTCCCCGGGTCTCCGGGGTCCAAGGTGTTCCTACTCTCGCTCGTTCTTCCTATGCCTTCACCGAGTTAGGCAGGCAGAGGATGATGGAGTTTTACTCTGAGCAAACGCTTCCTGGGAAGTTCCCCAAACCCAAAGTAGGGCACGTGCTTTTTATGCTTCCTGGCTCAAGTCTCAGACTCAGGATTCTCCTTTCCAGGGGGAAGAAAGCAACTTGTGGCTCCAGGACTTGCCTACCTAGACTTGTGTGTTTATGCTCGATCAGTTAGAAAAAATGATGGGTGGTGATGAAAATATAGTTTCCCACGTGTCCGTCTGGAGTTCTCTTCTCTCTTAACAGTGTTTAATCCAAGACAGCTTTATCTTGTACTGAATCCAAAATCAGTATATCCAAATGAACTTATGCAATATTTCATATAGAAATCAACTGTTTATAAATTGTGCTCTCCACCACACACACAGTTTTTTCCTGAGTGATATTTTGGTCAATAGGTTTGCAACCCACCCTTCTGTTTGCTAAAATGTTCTCTTCTATGTAAGTACAGTTTCTGGAAAACGTTTGTGGTAGGGTTGTGTTTGTTTGTTTGTTTGTTACTGGTATATTTGAGCAGTCTCAAAACATTTCTGCAGGGAACAGTATCTTCCCATTGGAGTGACTAGTAAAAAAATTTTTTTACCTAGTGCGTAATCGCATTTCCCTGTGCCTGACAACAAAACAAAGCAATCACAAACAAATTTTAGTTACTTAAACAGTAGCTCACTGGGAAGTGGTTCAACTACCGCGTTTCACCCAGAGTAGCTGCACCTTTTTTTCATGGGCTCTTTAGGTTTCACATTTTTTTCTTTTTACTCCCGGCCTTCTAATATACTCAACTTTGCCACCCAGTAAGTAACTCTTAAGAATTTACTAACTTTAATTGTGTTTTAAGTAAAAGCATTTACAATAACTTAGAGTGTATATCAAATATATCCAAATTTTTAAGTATTAATATGATTTCCATACCTGGAAAATCAGTGTGTCTTTGTAGGGTGTATTTTTATATGAGTGTTTTAGAGAGATTTTTATCAGCCAGCAAAACTGTGTTCTGCGGTTTGCTACTTGCACAAAAGATCTGTTATTCATTAAATTGCTTTAAAAAGAATTCATAAGAATGGTAATCAAATTTCCATTTTTTTAAATATAATATGAAGATTAAGGGGAAATTGAAGACATGGCTTTGAAAAAGCTGCATTCTTCAACTCTATTTTTAAAAGTAGCTTATGGTCCAAATAAAAGCATTTGTCATTTTCAACCTTTTCCTCATGCTCATCTGACAGGGGTCTTATTTTGGGAAATATCTTGGCAGATGTTAAACTTCACTTTTTGTTTGGCTGCTTGTGCTAAAATTATTTTTCACTTTTTTTTTTTTTTTTTTTAAAAGGGCAGTGTTACTGGGGGAAATAAGTAGAGTGTATCTTGTGAGATCCTAAGAAACATCCTTTGTTAATACTTCTGCTTTGAGTGAGGGAACCTAGTGCTGAGAATGTAGATGACTCTCCAGTACAATTGAATCTAATACTCTGGAATGTTTTTCGTTTGGGTGTTGGCAACTCCTAAATTTAATCTTCCTTAAAAACAAACAACCTAGGGTACCAGTTTTTTGTCTGTGGAATTTGAACCTTTTTTATTGAACTGAGGACTGCTTTTTTTTGAATAACTATGGCTCTTCTTCAAGCTGTGGGACACTACAAAACATGGTAATGTCTTACCACAGTATTAACAAGCATACTTCTTGAGTGACTCCTCATATTTTCATATTTTAAGTTTTTAAAAAAACAAGTCTTTCATGTTATTTTAATAGTGGTAAAATATGTGATGTAAAACTGTAAAGGTGAGCCAATTTCATGTTTTTAAATTGTTGCTTTTTTAGAATTGTGTGCCATTTCTCCCAGTAGTTTCAACAGAGAGAATGTAAGTTATTGGGTTTCTTGTGTAAAGAATTTAGCATTCCTATTTTAAAAAGTCAGATTACTTTTTACAAACTTTTCAGGTATGAAAATACTGTAAAAGGATGATCATCAATCTGTCAGTATTCAGTAGTAGACTTGTATTTTATCTAGTGTTGAGTAAGACTTATTTTCAGACAGTATTCCCGACCAAGGTTTATATTAATAGATTAACATGTATTTGTATACTGTAGAGAGCCTATTTTTATAGTTGATAAACATTAACTTCCTCCAAGAAGTACTTATTAAACATCTGTGTGTGACACATTCATTGTGAGTTTCATTAACTCATTTTACTAGTTACAAAATATTTTATAATATTGTTATAAAGGCATCTGACAGCAGCTAAAGGTACTAAAATCAATTAGAAGATAGGTTTAGCAAGGAAGTGTGTCAAAACTTGAAACTGGCTGATGGGGGGTAGGACACTGGGTGGATACTGCATGTGATGAGTGTAAAAATCCAAATATCCAGATGCTGTTTAATGAGATAAACTTTAGTTGTTTTCAGTTACTAAGAGTTGATATTTTTTTTTTTTTTTTTTTTGCTTATTTGTTTTTAAAGATGACTGGTAAGGGGATCTTAAACCTTGATTTGGTGTTGTTAGTGCCACACTCTCCCAAGTGAGCAAACCGGCCATCCCTATATAGGGTCTGAACCCATGGCCTTGGTGTTTATCAGCACCGCACTCTCCCAAGTGAGCAACAGGCCGGCCCTGCTAAGAGTTTTTTTTTAAAAAAACTTTTTTCTAAATTTTTACATTTTCTATTTTTTTATAATAATTAACCTGAATTGGATAATCTGGATTTGACATACTTCCTGCCAATAATTTTTGTGTATGTTTATCAGATCAGTTTGATGTTTATTTCATGTCTGCATTCAAGGCACTATCCTACACACTGGAGAAAACAAAAATAAGGCAGTGTATGTTCTTAAGGGTCAAGGCTGAAATCTAGGAGGAAGGATAAGCATAATTATTGAAAAAACATAAGTACTGAGTTAACAGTAAAAAGGAAAAAAGCCACCTCAATGCAGCCTGTAACTAATTATTTATTAGAAGTATTGTGTGTTTAAAAGGAAGAGGTAATTGGGCTGGGAGTAGCTACTGAGGATCAGAGTCTTGTCTTGAATCATGTATATTTCTATAGCCTGTATATTTAGACATAAATTCTCACATACACGTATACATAACTGTTTTTTATAGTCTTTTAAGTGTCAGAGTGCAGTGGTTTTAACTCTGGCAGCATATTGATATCGTGATGATCTTAAAAAATGCTCCCTCATGCTGATTGCTTGAACTCTCCATCCTCCCTGCCCCTACCCTCTATGGGTCTGGGATGGATCCCAGGCATTAATATTTTTATAAACTCCCTATGTGATTCTAATGTGAGTCAGGGTTATTAACTTTGGGCTGCAGTCTGGGGTTATAGAAACGAACAGGACATAGGCCTTGCCTACAGTGTGCTCTCAAGTAATATAAGGAAATATCGTTAATTACGGTGATAGACAGCCTAGTCTCTGAGCAAGATACCTAACTCGAAGAGGAGGAGGGATGTTGACCTGTTCTCAGAGTGCTAAGGAAGTTATTGCCATTGAGTAGGTCTGCATAAATGGATAAATGGAAATGGTTACCATAGAAAATATAATCTTTGAATAGGTAGAGGTGGCACTGAAGTTTTGGTTTAACTAAACAAGTTAACGTATGAGCATATTTAAAACTTGTGTTTGCATAGTGGTTGGCTAAAGTGCTTTATATGTTGTCTTAATGCTCACAACAGTCCCATGTAGTACTTATAGTTACGCTTTCTATCCCCATTTCCAGAGGAGAAAATGGAGGCTTAGAGGTTAAATGACTCAGGATCATGTAGGAAGTAAGTGATAGAGCAATATTTTAAACATTTTTGTGCTTTTTTTGTGTATGTGTGCCATCTAGGAAAAGGGGAGTTTTTAAGAACTAACCTTCCTTGCATTATTTAGCATATTTCCCTAGATTTTTTCTATAACTTTTTATTAAAGGTTATCTTAAATAATTTAACATCTGAATGAATGAAGAAAACAGTACAAGTATAGAAATGAATAGAAATTAAGGTCAAATTTGTAGCCTTAGGGATTGCCTCTGACATTCTAATTTGTAGTTTGCTTGGCAAAATTTTGAACATGAGGCTATCAGCAAAATGTAAATTTGTTTTTGGTTAGCAATCAGAAAATGTGGATCTTTGATTTTTCTTGAGTGATATGTTATTTTTCTGTAAGGATGGGATTATAACATCTACTCCATAGTTAGAACTCAGATTGGTAAAAGGGACGATAAAGGACCATATAATATATAGAAATCATTTTTAAGTGAACACAGTTTAGGTCATAATTATTTCTTGGACATTATATAGGACAGATTCCACTTAATAAACTTTATAAATCCAAATAGATTAAGACATGCCTTTTGGTATTCCCATTATCTTCCAGACTGTCTACCTTTCTTTGTGATGAGTCAAGAGAAAATAATAATGACTCAGAGTTGGAGAAAATTTGACTTATGAATGGGGTAGATACAGTGTAAATACAGAAGTTGCTTAATAAGATAGTGAGCCCATCTTTCCTAAATGTTAGAACTCATTGGTAAAATAATCTGAAATTTTAATATTATCGGGATTTGTAATGAGTTGTCTGAGCTGGGGAGCCATTTCTCATAAAAATAATAATTGTATAATTAAAGTAGATGACATTTATGGTGTGCTTATTAAGTGCCAGGTGCTGTTCTAAGCACTTTACATATATTGGTGCATTTAATTCTCACCACAGTCCCATGGGAAAATGGGGCAGAGAGGGTAAGTTACTTACCTGCTTGAGGTCATATATGTAGTAAGAAGCAGAGTAGAGATTGCATTCACAGTCTGGTCCTTAATAACCATCTTACTACACTTCAATGTATTGCATACTATCCATCTACTTTAAGAAAC